ACATGAGACAAAGTATATGTGAACTGCTGTATGAAAAGTGAATTTACTCTGTAAATCTTCACCCAAATCCTAATAATAAAAAAAAATAATAATAAGATATGCAAAGCACATAGTGACTTGTTAAGTATTCAAGAAACATTAGCTATTATGTGTCAGGAAACACTGGTCTTCCCCATACTTTTGATACAGTTATGACATCAATTCATAGCTTCTTGTACCATATTTACTAGGGAGACAGTGTGGACCAGAGAATAAGCCTGGGCTTTCCAGTCAGAGGCCAGATTCCGGCTCTGCTTCTTCCTGGTGCTTTCACTTCTCTGAGTCCCAAGTTTTCCGATTTGTTAAAACAATTTTCATCCATAAATGGGACTCATGCTACCTTCCTTATAAGCCCTAACTAAGAATAAGAGATACTGGAGTTTAACAAAGTACTTACTATAGTGCTTGACATACAGGCCCCAGTAAATGGGAGTCCATGCTATTTATTATTTCTGACCTCTGATACCAGGAATGTTACCTAGTTCTTTGACTACCATGTCAAGAAGTCTACCATCCACCTTAAGCTAGGGGGAGATCAATGTTATTAGTGGGCCTGCCAGACTAGAAAAAAGTAACAGCCTCTGAAGATAATTTCATCACAGAACACAGAGATGCCTGTCTTGGACCCATTTTCTTTTCTTTTTTCCTTCTTTTCTTCATGACCCACAGCTGTTAGAGGACCATGTTAGGCCCTGCTCGGTGCACACTCCCTTCACTCCACTAAAACTAGGAAGAAATGCCTGAACAGTGAGGGAATGCCCATAACGTGTTTCTACAAAGAAACAGCCCTATGCTGGGAATTCACACCACAGGGAGGAAATTCAACCTCATGAACAGAATATAGTAAATCCAGAGCAATGAGGTCTCTAGATTCTGGTCATTGAGGGCTAATGACCTTGAAACACATTCCCTGTAAAAACTGAAAAAAGGAGTCTCTCCAGTGACATGCAGCTATCTGCACCTGACAATCGGGGGGACTTAACAATGCTGGTGCCTGATTTTTTTTGGGGGGGTAGGGGTGGTGTTTTTCATATACATCAAATCATGTAAGTCTCACTGCTACCTTGTGACATGGCTATTCTGCGTCCCCACAGTTTATAAGGTTTTCAAGGTGAGTTTGAAAGTGGAGTAGCAGCTGGTATTAGAATACAGGTTCACTATTCAATTTCTAAAGACAAATGAAAAAACTAGTAGATATTGTCATCTCTCCCTAATCTGAATGTGAGACTCTAATGAAAGCACTGACATTCTACCCAAAAAAATGCCTTAGTGAACCAAACTTTCAAGGCCCTTGGGGCAAATCTGGCCCACCACTTAATTTTGTAAATAAAGTTTTATTGGAACACCTCTGACCTAAAACATGAATGAGAGACTATACTTCTAAGGGAAGCTTGTGGTATAGAAAAAAGACAAGCACTCTGCCAAGAAAGCCATCATCTCAAAATTTTTCAAATTAAGAGAAGCAAAGAAAAATGGAACATTTGCTAAAACCGAAACCACAGACAGACCTGAATGTTGCTGAGGCAATGAGCCGCCTTCCTATGAGCAATGCTTATTTAATAGGCACGTGGAACAAAAACCCACTGCCATCAAGTGGATCCCAAGTCACAGTGACCCCACTGAGTTTCCAAAGTGATAAATCTTTGCAGAAGTAGACTGCTCCATCTTCCTTCTGTGGAGCAGCTGGTGGATTTGAACCACCAACTCTCTGGCTAGCAATCAAATGCCTTAGGCACTGTGCCACCAGAGCTCCTTTATAGGCACATAATATGCACGGTAACAAAATCTTCCTTGTTTAGGAAGCCTCCGCTGAGGGGGAATTTAAGAAAATCATGATGATTAAAATGCTACTGCCAATTGTGATAGCATAATAATTAGCCAAAAGGTCTCTTAGTCAGTGTTTGGGAAAGGAATCAAAGACTGCAAGCACGTAAGAGAAGGCTATGGTGAGAAGCACTTCATTTCAAAGTTGATCCGGAATCCCTGAAGGGAAAGGATCCAGAATCCCTGAAGGGAAAGGAAGATAAAAAGTTTTAACACAAAAGAGAAACTTTGTAGGTAACTAGCTAGAACCACCACCACTAAAATTCAAGAATTTCATCTGATCTTTCCTTTCAGGCCAATAAAACTTACATTATCCAGGTCCTTTCGCAGTGCAATCTTGCTGGTCACCAGCTCATGGGCCAGGTCATCATTTTCCTGTTCCAACCTCATGTTAGCTTCTTGTAGACGTCTATTCTCTCGCTGAAGAGGAGAAAGGAACCAATTGTAGACAATAAAACTCAGATTGAAATGTCATTTTTTCAGGACTAAAGCTGAAAACTACTTTTCGAGTCCTACAAAAATACTGGGAGATGTGGCTGGACCTGCTGAGTTTCCAATCAACAACTATTTATTTTCTATTCTCCATAAAGAAATACTTAACTGATTCAAGTGACCTTGTCAAGCAGCTATTTCTTATTAACTATGTTGAAATGCCATTGAACTATAACAAACCAGGCAGCTGGTTTAAAACAGATCTTTCTTTCTCATTTATGAACTCAAACTGAAACCTGAACAGTGGAATTGAATTTGAAAGGGGATTCATAAAGCTAGTTACAGGCACAATTACATTAAAAGAAAGACCAAAAGCTCCTCACGTCACCTAGGCCACAAGCAAACCAACCTCAAATCGCTCGATGGGGTCTTCTTGTTGGGCCTGCTGTTCTCTCATGGTGTGATACTCCTTTTCATATTTTTTCAACTTCTTCTGACTAATCTGTAGGACAGATCACAGCACAAATTAAAAGGTATTAAAAAGAAGCGGATGCTTCAGGGCCTGCACTGAAGACCAAGACCTCTGCTGACCTGGGCTTCCCCAGTTACTATGAAAGTAGTGTTTCTTCTCTTTGAAGGGAAATCAGTGGCGCATGAGCCCATGATCCAAAATTCTTACACAATTGACTATCATGTCCAGAGAGTTCTGATGGGGATATTTGGTTCCTAACACTGACAGTGTTAGAATGAATACTCTACTGATGACCTCTCCCATCTGAGTTCAAGTTTCAATTCGTCAATAATAAGTCATCATTTTACTCGGCACATACTAAAGTACTACTAAGTGCTTTAAATCCGTGACCTCTTTACACCTCTACAAGGTGTATTATCATCATCTTCATTTTATAGACAAGTTAACTGAGGTAAAAGGTTATATAACTTGTCCGAGGTCATGCTACCAGGCTCTGGCAGATCTGGGATCTGGGTCCAGGCAGTTCCACTCCCTCCACAGTTTAAGCTTGTAGTTAGTTCACTAGTGTGTCTGTCATCTGTCCCCTCAACTAGCTCCTGTGATGCTTTCAAATAGGCACAATTCTGTGTGGCCACACAGAAATACTGACTACGCCACTAAACCACCCATTAGTCCCATCAAACTACCATTCTCTTTCTCTGAAGCCTTTTCTTACCAACCATAGCAAACTTCAGGCCTATCTTCTCACCTCCATTGCTTCATGGCCTCTCTCTCCTTAATGTCTCCAAATCAGGTGTTGGCCTTGATTGCTCTACAGAAAGTACCCTCTTGAAGGTCACCAGTGACTTCTTTTTCACTTCATCCAGTGGTCCTACCTCTCCCCAACTGGACCTCAAAACTCCTTGACTTTCATGCTCTAGCATGACCAATCCACTTTTCTTCCTTCTAGGAAATCTTTTCCCTCCTTTATTCTCTTGACTCTCTTTATATCTAACACCCCCCCACACATACAACTTCTTTTACCAGCTGACTCCTTATTTTTCTTCAATCTATACCATAACTTAGGATATTCCTTAAAAATGTAGTATGAGTCTTTTGTTTGATTCCTTCTTCCAAACTGCTAGTCAATTCCCTCTGGTGTTTTGTAAATTACAGTTTTTAAAATTATGATAAATAACAAATAGAAAAGTGATCAAACAGATTAACTGTAATTTAAAAAACAATTCTAAAGCTCACACTCTGCTCATTCATTTGCAAAGCTTCAGTTATGTACACTATATTGCTGACTCATGATGTCTTTAGCCCCCAGTTCCAGTTAACTAGGACTCTCAGAGCTATTCTAATTTCCATACTTTATAGATGAAGAAACTGAGCTAGGCCCAGCTTTGCAGTGTGCTGGCATTAGTGTCTCCAATTCCCTGTCCCATTATTCCTTCTCCATTTTCCTGGAGCTGCCTGATACACCTCTCCCACGAACTGTGGATACCTCCCCTAGCCGGGGTGTTTACAAGTCTGCCTCAATTGGAGCTCTATTGCTGGAGTTTGGCTGCTACCCAAAGGGAGGCAGCCAGGAGGGTAACATATGCCCTGGCTGCAGTCTACAGCAAGATGCCCATTAAACACTTGGGGTGAGGCCACAAGCTGGAGAGTCAGGCCATCTTTCAACCCAAATCTCCTGTGGTTTAAGGCCAATGCCAGGGTAAACTTTCATTGTGCACCTAAGTGATTCACAAGGAAAGCATCTAAATAAAACGTCTGTTTGATCAGTTAATTTATAAACAATTCTAACAGATCAATAGCAGAGGAAGGGAAAATAAATGAGGTTTGTGGGCAGCAAACACTTCCTCTCATGGCTCTTTGCTATTAGTCTGAGTAAGTGACAAGGAAGGGAAGTGAGTATGAGACTCCCCCTAGTGTTTTATTAAAAAAAAAAAAAAAGTTAAAAAAACTAATACCAAATCCTGTAAAATATTTCACCAAATTTTCAGAATTCAAACTTTTCATTCTTATTCTGGGATAAAGAAGAATTCATCGTTTTTCCCCTAGCTCCTTGCCCATAAACATGTATTTTAAAAGGCTAATTAAAATTTCTTCTACATTTCATTATCCCATAACATAACTGCCTCATTCTCTCCACAAAAGGGTTAATTTTGCAAAATGCGAAATGCTCCTTTGCAAAGGGGCGCTCAGCCTTAAAACAGTGATAGGGACCTGGTAAATGCCAGACTCTTCCTTCATATAGGACAAAGAACTCTGGTGGTGTAGTGGTTCAAGTAGTTTAAACCCACCAGCTGCTCCATGAGTGAAAGATGAGGCAGTCTGCTTCCATAAAGATTTACAGCCTTGGAAACCCTATAGGGTAGTTCTACTCTGTCCTAAGGGCTGCTATGACTTAGAATTGATTTGATGGCAGTGGGTTTTTATACATGACATCTCATTTGGTTGTTACATTTTTGTAGTGGGATTACAGGTATTTCTTTGTGCTTTTCCCATGTGTTCTGCATTGAACATGAATTATTTTGATAGTTAAAAACACAACAAATGCTGTTTAAAAACAATTCTCATAATTTTTCTGGGCCTCTCTGGGCAAAAGACAGGGTTCTGCATATTCCTCTAGATGATGGTCTCCACTAGGCTGCGCAGTCAGTGCTCAGGGACCATCTTTCAGGACTGGACAGATAAAGCTCTCCCATCCTGCAGACCCAGAATTCTGCCTGCCTTCACCAGCACCTCACCTGTTCCCTCATCCTCATCTCTCTCTCATTCCCTCCTATAAGCGTTCAAAATGCAAAATGAATGAATAAAAATAGCCCTGCTAATAATGGATTTTTGTAGCTGATCCTGACTTTTGGAGCCTTGGTGTTTGCGTATCACAGCCAAATAGTTCATGCTGCCTCTGTGGCACAGAGCCCTGGAAAAAGACTGATGTCTGACACCTGGATGGGGAACCAAGAGGGGGCCTGCTCTAAATGATCTGTGTTGTGTGGGTGAATGGTGAGGAATAGGAAGCAAGCAGATTCTGATCCCCAAAGGAAGCAAGCAGATTCTGATCCCCAAAGTCCTCACTGCTTTGTGTGACAGGGCTCACATGAAGCTAAATAAATAAATAAACTAGAGACAAATCCATCTTCCTTTTAAGGATGTAAATTGTTTTCGGGAGGGATTTTCCATTTCTGTTACTCATTAAAAGAACCTGAGATTTACACAAGACTTTCCAGCTAGCAAGATGCTTCTATACCTAATAACGTATTTAATTCTCAAAACAACTTTCTGAGATGTGGAGTTAACACCTAAATAGGTAAAGTGACCTGTCCAAAGTCAATTAGCTAGTCTGTTAAGTGACAACACTTGAAGAACGCAACTCTGGGGTGATTGTTTCTTATTCATCTCTGTGGCATGGTCAGTACTGAAAACAGTTCTCAGCACATAAGAAAATCTATCAACGCAGACATGAACGGACCACAGGAAAGTATTCTGGATGCCTGGGCAGAACAGGGCAGGTCAAAAGAGCACAGGTGTTCGAGAGATGATGACATAAAAAGAGCAGTGTGACTTCGTAAAGGCATCGTCTGATTTCTCTCCCACTGTAACCTCCTGTGCTAACTTACACTGGGTCACAAAACAGAGGCAGAATCAGGATCACAGCCAAGGTCTGGGGGATTCCAAGAGCTGCACTCTTAACCACTTGAAACAAATATTCAATTTAATTTTGAGCTTTTTCATTTAATTTGTTCCAAGAGTTCAGACTTAAATTCCTTCAACTATCACTAAATATAATTTAGCATCCTGGTTCTAGTATTTTTCTGTAATGCAAGTAGCAGAGGACCCAAACAAATAAGGATCAAGGAAGACCAACTTATTAAAATAAAGTAAGAAGGTAGTAACCACTGCTGCCCTTACAACAAGTGGCAAAATTTAGAGTCTATTACAAAGAAAGGGAGTACTCACTTAGAGTTTTCCCCATGGAATCCAATTTTAAAAGATGGAACACACAAACAGAACTATAGCCTGGCTTACTTATGAGAAAAGTTAACTATAGTGTACAGAAGGCAAGTGTTCAACTCTGACACAGAGACTGAGTTACCTTGTTACATGACAAACATCACCAAAAACGGACCAATGTGTCTCTTGCCCCACTTCATACAATCCTTTGTTATAGTAAAGCACAATGACTGTAAGCACTGACTTTAGAGCTGAAAATTTCTGAGATTGAATCCTACCAGTAACACTTAATCCTATCAGTAATTACTTTACTTCTCTAAAATGACTGTATATGGTCATTTTGAGGATTAATTGACTACATCAGGCACTACTCAAGATTCTGTGAAAAATTACAAAAAAAAAAAAAAAAGACAGTGAAATCACTGCCCTCTTATAGCTTAAAATCCTAACACACACACCGACTACATATATGATTTGGACAAGGAATGAAGGTAGTGCTCACTTTAGCTCACAAATAAAAATATCCCCCAAAAGCAAATCCCCCATGCCAAAGGGTTTTCTGTTTCTATGAATAGCAAATGTTTAGGATTACATTAATTTAGAGATCATGCTATTTGGTTTTTGTTATAATTTCTTACAAATACTTTGACGTCTGGCACATTAGTTTTAAGCTTGAAATAACAAATTCCATTTCACCATAGGAGTAAAGTCTTCATGTAAACACTTGGATCTAAAAAAACTTAACTGCTTTTTCTAAACTAGCCAACCATATCTCAGACATGAAGAAAGAAAATGTTGACCTCAGATAGTTCATGAATAATAATAATAATAAAAAGACCTAGGAACTTGCTTTTTTTCCATTTTTCCTCTCTAAAGATTGTATGAGTTATGAGTATAAAAGTGTTTTGGAGCCCCCAGGACCACTCATGACCTCCTGGAATAATCTATCCCAGACAGAATGCCTTTTAGATCTTGTATCAAAAGTAACCTATCACAGGTTACTGATGTATCATGGAAGAGGATATTCAACAAACAGCTACATGACCTTTAATGTATGTTGCTAAGTTGTAGAGCAGAGAATCTGAAAC